CTCCAACAGGCTCCACTAATGAGCACAAAAGCTTGTCACTGGCCTTTGGGAGATCAGGCTCGATTGAGCTGGGTGGAAGTCACTCACTTTGCATGACACTTGGCCAGCTACAAGGAAGCCAAAGGATTCCTTTTAATCTTTGCAGGTACTTTGTAAAAGCTGGGACTCCAACAGTCTTGGTGTTTGTAAAGGGTTCTCCTTACTCTAACAAGTACTTCTCTGGCAAGAAGGTGCATCGACTGTAGTGAGCAAGAGTGAAACAAGAGGAATCCTTTGCAGGAGGCCGCTGTTTGTTATCCCAGACTGCAAACTCCTGCTTGAACCAGACTGCCTTGCACAACTGAGGGGAGAAATAAGCTTGGCCCAGGGGGGGTCTTCCAGGAAAGCAGTACAGGAGAGTGAAGGGTTTACAAGAGGGGATGAGTTGTTTAAACCAGCATCCAGCTGGCTTGCAGAGGGGCTCCTCTGTGATGGGCTGCGTGTGGTTTTGAAACAAACCTGCAGCAGTGCCAAACACCGGCTGCAGCTGAAGCAACAGCAGTGGGAATGCACTTCCTTACCTGTGGAAAGGCATGGATTGCCTTGGAGGTGGGCTGTAGTTGCTGGGGTTTAACAGCAGTGAGCTAGGGAGATTCCTGCTTCTTGCAGCAGGGTGGATGCAGTCACATTCCTGCCTGGGATTAAGCAGCTGCTGTTTCACTGCTTGGCTCTGCTGCTGGCCAGGGTAAAGCAGAGCTCTTTGTTCTGAGCAGTGTGTTTTACTGACCCTTTTGCTGCCTTACCCCTTGTCCTGCAGAACCTGGAAATAAACATGTCTATTTTCAAGTAGACTGGCTTCTGCCTAGTAAATGAGACAAGAAATTCTTCTCACCTCCCGAAAACGACAAGAGAATGACAAACAGTTAAGTCTAAACCCAAATGCAACAACCTTATCTATTATACTTACTGGTACGGCCAACATCCAGGGTCTTCTGTGCTTCTGCATTAGCATTTAGGATTACTTTGAATTAAATGCTGACTCTCTCATTTCTTCTGCATTCTCTCTGGGACTGCAGAAATAAGCTGCAGTTTGAGACACAGGTAGTGCACGGGGCATTAGAAAGCTGTTCAGCTGTGAACACTCCTGCTTAGGTGATGGAGGCTGGCTTGAGACAACTCCAAAGAAAGCATTTCCATTTCACTCTTCCTCAGTTTCTGCACCATGCACAAATACAGTAAAATTATCTGCACCTGAGGATGCTGAAATTTAATCTCCAAAGCTCAAGTTTCTCCCCCAGCCCCTCTTACAGGGCTCGCTGCTCGTTTCTTTTAACCAGAGCCATATGTGAGCCTTGCCATCGTTTGTGAACCAGCCGCAGTGGAGCAGAGCAGGACCATGCAGAGGAAGGGATCTGGGCTGCAGCCAGTCCGTGTTTTAAAGCAAGAGGCTGCCTGGGTTTTCTGTTCATCACTGAGCAGCTTGTTGGGGTGGTACATGGCAAACAGAGTCAGGTTGAGTGATCGTTCCCCATCAGCACAAGTGGGGTGATGGGGAAGTAGTAGAGGAAGAGCTTGTGCTCTTAAGGATTGTTCTCTTCTCCAGGCTGACCCAGCCCAGCTCTCCCAGCCTGGCTCCAGAGCAGAGCTGCCCCAGCCCTTGCAGCATTTCCATGGCCTCCTCTGGACTCGCTCCAGATAAAGCCATAGGTGAGGTGAGGGAGGGGTAGGTCCTGGGGCAAAGCCCCCTCCCCTGGACCTCCCATTGGAGCAGAGAGCCGCAGCAGTGTGCACAACCCACCAGCTATGAAGGCCTCTTAGATCTGCATTCCCAGGAGCTGGGGAGGAAAACCAGGTGCTGGGCTCTTGGCCAGAGAGAAATCCCCTGTTTGAAACCCACAAGTTTCTGCACTCTTTAACCAAAAAGCCTCAGGACCTGGCCAGTTCCTGGGCTCACTTCACTGCCCCAGACCCCTGAAGGCACAAGCAGGAGAGCAGGGTCAGCAGCAGGTGGAAGTGGAAGGAGGCTTTGAAGGAGCTCCTTGGAAATTAATTAAACCAAAGCTCTGGGAGCAGCCCATCAATTGTGCTGCCTGCCTCATCCCTCCTCCTCCCCTTGGCCAGCCGCCTCAGGGCATGAGTTACAGCGGGGAATAGCCTGGAGAGAGATGCAGCCATCTAATTACATCCCACTCCCCCTGCAAAACAGATACGTACACACTGCGATTTCATATATCAATTTCATGTGGTTATTTAGGGACCTATAAAATCAGGTCCTTGAAACCATCTCTGGTAGCATCACGTACTGCAAAAGGTGCTTGGATCCCACCTGCAGCACTGACCGGTAAATCCTCTGCTGTCTTCACAGCTTTTTCTGTGCTGAAAGCTTCTTGGCATTTCTGGGATGCTTCCCTGATCCATAGAATCATAGAATCCCAGACTGGTTTGGGTTGGAAGGGACCTTAAAGCTCATCCAGTTCCAACCCCCTGTCACAGGTAGGGACACCTTCCGCTAGAGCAGCTTGCTCCAAGCCCCATCCATCCTCCTGTCCATGGCACAATGGCAGGGGCCTTGGGAAAACAGCCGTGGTCCTTTGTTCCCTGGATCACCCTGTGCGGGAAGGCATTGATGGGTGCTGGGGGCAGCCAGCACAGAGACCTGATGCTCCCAAGGTCCCAGATCTGCCTCCCTGCAGCCAAGAGCACAAGGCAGCTGGGTGGTTCTGTGCAAAGCCACAGCCAGGAGGGTTGTTCAGAGCAGGGATAACACCCCGCAGGGATTTGTCTTTCCAAGGGACATAGGAACAGCCAGTGATTGCTAACTGGCCCTAGAGCCATGCGGTTGGTGGGGAGGGCAAACAGGCTGCTCCCAACAGGCTCCAGTGCTCCCATCAGCAGGTCCCTCCTCCCCTGGGAGCTGGGATGCTCCAAACCACCCAACCCTGCTGAGCACCCTCCCCTGTGCCAGTGGTCCTTCACACCCCTGCTGTTCCCTGTTGTAACCCCAAACCACTGCTGCCCCATCCACCCTGTGCCCCCCCCACCCCGGTACCCAGCCAGGCCGAGGCGAGGGCTGCCTGTATTGAAAGCACAGTACTTAAGGAGAGGTCAGTTAAAGTTTAATGGTCACGGGAATACATCATTCCCTCCACTTAATCAAGCAGCAGCCATTCCTAAAGATAAGCAGGAAGGATGGCTCGCATCCCGGTGATAAAAAGGCAGGATCGCTCCGAGTTCGGGAGATAAGAGCGCTCTATAAAAATTGGATGTCTTGTACCATGTTCAGCCTGAGACAACTTTTATCTTGTGATAGCCACCACCAGGCCTTGCACTGAGATGTTTATGATGGGAGATAACAGCAGAGATGAGGAGTTTATGGCCAGTGGAGAGGGGCAGGAAGCTCCTTCTGCTTATAAACCCAGTGGGGAATTTGGGTGGCAAAGTGCCTTTCTAGGGACTGGGTGTTGCAGAGAGAGAGAAAACACCCTGGGGTGCCTGGAAAAGACCTTGTGCTCATTTCTGGTACCCCATGGCCTCATCTTACCCCAAGCATGGCATCACCATCACTTGCTCATGGTTAAGCTGTGGGTCAGCACACAGGGCTCTGCTAGCAAAGATCACAGAATCCCAGAGTGGTTTGGGTTGGAAGGGACCTTAAACCTCATCCAGTTCCAACCCCTGCCACAGGCAGGGACACCTTCCACTGGAGCAGCTTGCTCCAAGCCCCTGTGTCCAACCTGGCCTTGAACACTGCCAGGGATGGGGCAGCCACAGCTTCTCTGGGCACCCTGTGCCAGCGCCTCAGCACCCTCACAGGGAAGAACTTGTGCCTTGCATCCAGCCTAAGCCTCCCCTGTTTAAGTTTTAACCCAGGTTTAAGTTTGGCCAAATGAGGCCACAGGGTACGGCTGCTCCCTCGGGGCCACATTAAACCTGCTGTGCCCAACACTCTGCATGCCCAAGGGCTTCCAGGGCTCACTCTCTCCCAGGAGGGAGCCTTCAAGAGACCTCAGTGCCACCAGAACCCCTCTGTGTGAACCAGGGAAGACCGGGGGGGGCTCTCAGCAGTCTATAGCTGAGGGCAGACTTACCCCAGGCTGTGAGTGGTGAGCAGCACTCCCACCATCGCCCCTGCTGCACTGCAGTGGCTTTCCCAGAGCATCTCAAGGAGAAGCAGGCAGACAGCAAGATCCTTGCAATGGTCTTAACTCCATCCTCTACCACTGTGGACTTGTGTGCTGCCATCAAAGCACCTGGGGAAGAAACACCCCTGAAGGCACTCAGGTCATTGGTGCTTGAGGCAATTAGGGATGGATGTTGAAGCCTTAAAGGCTCTGGGTTTCAGCATCCACCTGCACTTACTCCCCATGTCCTCGGCAGCGTTGCTCAGCTCCAGGGAAACAAGGTTTGGGTTTTCTCTTCCTTTTGTCATTTCAGTGCCCCTGCGGCAGTTTGGGGTTTGCATCTCAACGTGCTGGTGCAACCAGGGGATGGGGATAAGGATAAGGAGCAGCCCGAAGGTCTTCACCAGCCCCTGCCATGGTTGCAATGCCTCTGGGCAGCCCCCAAAACCCATTTGCATGGAGCAGTGGGTGAATCCCCTGTTCCTGCTTCAAGTGATGCCCCGAGTCCTGGGCAGCAGCTCTTGGGGCAGGCAACCCTGGGCAGCCCCATCCTCTTCCTCACCCAGGGAGATGCCACCTCCCTCGGGTATGCTGTGGGTGCAGGACCCCCATCCCATGTTCACAGTGAATCCCTGGAGCAGGCACTCACCCACAGCACATGCACTGACGCTTTTCCTTTCAACGCACTTCCATTGCCACTCCTTCCACAGCCGCTAGGGTAGGATTTCATCCCGGTGGGAGCAGCGGCTCCCAGTCCTGCCCGGGATGCGGAGCAGCACTGGGCACTGTGGGAGGAGTGGGATGCTCCTGCACCAGGGAGGGATATCACTGCTGCCTCTCCCTTTCCTACCTCAAAGGGAACCAGTTTCCTCCCATAAAGAATTAGTCAGAAAACCCCTGTTTTAGGAAGACGTTGGATCATGTAAAGATTCAAGTAGCGTTGAGTGAACTAGAAAACCAAGTCCTGTACATCAGCTTATAAAACATCTACGTACAAAAAAAAGAAGGAGAGAGAAAAGAGATGACAGGTCAGTGCAATGGACGAGGCGGCGCAGTGATGCTCCTCCACCCCGTAACCTGGGACCTCGCTTGGGGAGGCAGGGTCCAGGCACCACCATCCCACATCTCCATGCACCACGGAAGTGCCCCCTGGTCCATCCATCCATCCATCCATCCATGCATCCATCAGCGCCCTGGCTCTAGAGGCTCTGCAGCCGCACGATCAGGTCATCCTCCTTGTTCTTCAGCAGGAACTTCTCACAGGCTTCAAACGTGGCACAGAAGTCGGAGGAGAGCCCTGCCACGTTGGTGGTCACGTAGTTGAGGTACCCCGGTGTCGCTTGGTTGTAGTAAGCCACCTGTAAGGCACAGCAGAGAGTTACAGGGGTACCTGGAGGGCAGGGAGCATCCCCGACGGGGTGCAGGCAGCAGCATCGCACCTTGCTCATCTCCTCTGACTCCGGCCATATGCAGAACCCCGAACAGATGGTCTCACCCCGCGTGAAGCCGGCAGTGGCAGGGTGGGTGGGCAGCGTCACCGACCGAAAGGCCACCACATAGGGGTCCCTGGGGAGGGAAGGGCCCGGTGAGCCGGTGCATCCCAGCCGGAGGGGGAGCGGGGATCAGGGTTGGGCGCAGTTACCCCTTGCCGCAGGGTTTCCGTCGGGATGCCAGGATGACAAAGTCCTGCAGCTTGTTCTCGGAGCTGAGTGTCTGGCTCACCACGTGGTAGATCACGTCGTCATCGTCTACTTGCTGGACCAGCTCGGCGCTCCTGCGAGGCAAGAGGGACCAGTCAGGGAATGGAAAACCAGAGAAACCCCCGAGGTCTCACCAGCCATCAGCCAAGGTGGAGCTGGGATGGGGACACAGTGAAAGGACATCGTGGCTCCAGGGCAACACACATAGAATCATGGAATGGGTTGGGTTGGAAAGGACCTTAAGATCATCCAGTTCCAACCCCTGCCACAGGCAGGGACACCTCACACTAAACCATCTCACCCAAGGCTCTGTCCAACCTGGTCTTGAACACCGCCGGGGATGGAGCATTCACAACCTCCCTGGGCAACCCATTCCAGTGCCTCACCACCCTCACAGTAAAGAACTTCTTCCTTATATCCAATCTAAACTTCCCCTGTTTAAGTTTTAACCCATTACCCCTTGTCCTGTCACTACAGTCCCTAATGAAGAGTCCCTCTCCAGCATCCCTATAGGTCCCCTTCAGATACTGGAAGGCTGCTATGAGGTCTCCCCGCAGCCTTCTCTTCTCCAGGCTGAACAGCCCCAACTTTCTCAGCCTGTCTTTGTAGGGGAGGTGCTCCACCACATGCTCCCAGGAAAGCCCAAAGGGTCATTCATCAACAAGCCTTAAATCCATGGATACAGCTGTTGGAAAGGGCATGGAAAACCTGGCAGCACTCACAGGTAGTGGCTGTCCCACTCGTGCCGGCGCCGCAGGTCGGAGAGCAGGGAGAAGGCTTGGGAAGCAGCGATGCGGACGGACATCTCGATGCGGAAGGAGAGGAACTTGTCCTCCTCCAGTGTGTACATCTGCACCTTGGGGAGCACACAGAGCACGGGCTGGGACACATCCATCACCACCAAGCCCCTGGGTTAACCATGATTTGGGGGTGAGAAGCAGCTCAGGGGGAAGGGTTAGGGTTTGGTACCTTCTCCTTTTCTCTGGCCAGTGCCCAGTTCGCTTTGGCCACGAGCATCTTCAGTGCAGAGACATTGTTGTAGCTCAGATAAACCTGGGCGAGGGGCAGCATGTCAGGGGCAGGAAAGGGGGAGCAGGGAAAGGGGGAGCAGGGAAAGGGGGAGCAGGAGGAGGCAGTGACTCCGCAGGGCATCACTTACCTTGTTGCTTTGGTCCCAGGGCACAGATAGCGGCACTTCGGTCTGTTTGCAGGAGACCACATATTTTCTGCAGGAAAGGAAGAGTTTTCCTTACAATGGGACACAAACAACACATAGACTATTCCTGAACCCCATTGGTGAGCCCATCCTCCTCCATCCTCGCATCCCATTTGCTTCTCCTGCTCACCGGTCCAGCCGAATCTTTTTCCTAGCACTGGCTTCTCTGTACCTCCTCTCTCCATCCTGATAAATAGGAAAAGACCCTTAGGTTAATAGGAAAAGGAGGGAAAAACCCTGAAACACATGTCTTTTGGGGAGTGGGCAAAACATTCCGCAGGGAAGGGCTGGAAAGTGCTCACTGGGTTACACTGGCAGTGATGGTTAGTGATAAACCATGAGCTATTTCAGCATTGCTACTGGGCTGTGATTAAGCAATAGGCACTGGCATTAGGAAAAACCCCTTGCTGTGGCTGCAGAGCTGCAAACAGCCACTGAAACCCCAATCACATCCCCTGGCACATACAAATGGCCCCTCCCGGGGAAATAAAACACCCTAAAAGCAGCTTATTCCAAAGAAAGCACTGGGGCAGTGTTCTAAAGCAAGTGGGCTCTGCTGGCTGCGAGATGCTCTCCTGCAGGGTGGGAGAAGAGCCTGAGTTTTAAGGCATCAAAACCACCAGGTGGGTGGGCACGGAGCAGCCAAAGGGAAGGCAACGGCATCGCTGGCTCATGCTGTGATGCACCCTGAGACATGCAGGCGTTCGCTTCACTCCTGTGCTCGTGTGACAGGTTTTCTTCACCACTGATCCATATGGCAGTTATTGATCAGGATGCTTTGGGAGGTAAAAGCAACCTGAGAGGTTCGCATTCTTTCCCCTGAATGATAGAAAAGAGCTGGGACTTGCAGGCAGTATTCTGCTCAGCCCTGCATGGCAAATACATCTCCATCTCTGCACGGGCAAGTGGTTCATTTTACTATTAGTTACACTGAGCAACCTATTAATCCACTTGCTCCAGAGCAGCTTCCTTCCCATCACCATAAAACTGTGCTCGTTTCGCTGTGAATCTCAGGGCTAAGTGGGGGTCCCCTGCCCCTGTGGTGGGGAGAAGCCAGCCCTGCCCATCCTTACCCCCTGCTCGGGTGCCAGCATGGGCAGGGTGCGGGGCCGCCCCTCCTGGTCCAGCACCACGAAGGTCATGAAGGCGCTGTTGATGTGCCTGTGGCTGATGGACATCTCCTGGCCGTACGCCTCGGCGCAGACCCCCACCTCCATGCTAGGGGGGACAGAGAGAAGGGGTGAGGGTGTGGAAGGCACCAGGAGGGAGGGATGGGAGCCCTCCATCACCAGCACCGACCTGTTTTTGAAGGCATTGTTGACGATGGCTTTGAGCACCAGGCGGTCCCCGACTTGCGATGGCCCCCGAAAGTGGAACATCTCGATGGCCCGCAGCGTGGGGTGGGCATGGCACAGACGGCTGTGGGGGGACAAGTGTTACCCACCAGGCATGGATCCATGCTCCAGCAGCCCTGTGCAGCTCCCCCGACCCAGACAGAGACAAGGAGACCCCAAAAATGTCACCCTTTGGTTTCAACCACCAAAACCAGCCATGAGAAGGGGCAATAAGGAGGCTCCGGTGAGTGCGAATCCTTCCCTGGGGTCCTCCAGCATCACTAACCCATGGAATTCCCTGTACAGCATCCCCCAAGGGTGATGTGCTGGCAGCATCCCTTTGGAGTGTCCATACAACCCCTCCAGGCACACCACCCCTCCATCCCAAATCCCTGCTGGATCACCTGGCTGCGATGGTGGCCACGTTCTCCATCCAGGCCATGATCTGCCCTCCAAAGGTGTTGCCCTGATGGTTGGCGTGTGGAGGCAGCACCAGCTCCACGCTCTCCACCCGTGTCTTCTCTGCTGGCACAGCCACGCTGCCATCCCGTGTCTCCAGCTCTGCCACGGGGGGAGAATGGGGCTCAGCCTGACAGCCAGGCAGTGGGACCCTTCCCTCCTCTCCCCACTGCATCAACATCCCACACCTCCTGCTTGGGGGTTCGGGATGATGGGATGATCCCTACCCCTCCATAGCCAGGGCATTCCCAAACCTCTCACCATCCTTCCCAGCAGCATCCTGCTGAGGAAGCAGCAGCACTGGGGCTATTTTGGGGCTGGAAGCCTGGGCTGCAGGACACGGTACCAGTTTCACGTGGGCTGCGGGTGAGGAGGTCCTTGAGGGTGTCCTTGTGGACCAGGCGCATGCGGCGGCGCTCGGCAGCGATGCTGTGCTCTATCTTCTCCTCCTCTGTCTGCGGGATCAGCGGCTTCAGCGTCACCTGCAGAGGGGACACGGGCAGGATGGAGTCCCATTGAGGGAGAAGGCAGGGCTCTTTTGCATGCTATACATCCCACTGTGTGTGTGTGTGTGTGTCAGAGCTGCGCTCCTCCTGGGTTACATTACAGCTGCTTATGGAAGGGGAAAGGGCTCCTATAGACACACAGGGATCTCCAGGGAGGTGCCTGCAAGCATGGGATACGAGATAGCTATGAATCAACCATGCCATGATGGGAAGCTGAACCCAGCCCAGCTCTTCCCAGAGGGACCATTTCCTCCATGCAGGGACCATTCGAGCCCCCCCAGCCACCATCTGCCCCTCACCTTGTTGCCGGAGGAGCTGTGTGCCACGAAGGTGGCGTACGCCTTGCAGATGCTGTAGTGCTTCCCGCTGCACAGGTCCTCGTAGCTCACCTGGATGCCCACCTGGGAGAGGGGCACAGCATCCCTGAGAGCTGGCTCTGCTCCCCTGGGACCCACATCCAACAAGATCCCACACCAGATCCAGGGGTTCAGAGCTGGGAACAGGCGCACAGCGAGGGGGATAGGGGCAGGGACGGAGGGGAAGGCAGGGGCTGCACACCAACCTCCATGCTGGAGTTAAAGGCTCGGTTCACTTTGGCTTTGATGTTGACAACCTGCCCAACGCTGGAAAACAGAAAGAGGAGAGAGAACATGGGGGTTATTTTGGGATGAAACCCACGGTCCTCCAGCACACAAGCCAGTGCCGAGCAGCTCCTCACCAAGGTGCCACTGCGTTAACAGTGCTGTGGTACAGGCTGCTTGGATGGTGGGGACATGCCAGGATGGCCAGCAGGACACGGGGACAGCCACCTCCAAGGTGTGGGAGCCCATATGGGTCCAGAGCAGCAGTGAGATGTCACCCCACGTACAAATGGGTCCCAGGTCTGGGGTGCTGCTGGGACACCGGAGGGGTGCAGAGGTGCCCAAGGTTTGCTTGGTGCCCCCACCATGTGCTCCTGCCAGGGCAAACGGCTCCTCCAGCTTCACATGTGCTGTTCTGCTCAACAGGGGCACCTATAGGGTCTCCCCATGGGCCCTCAGGTGGTGGCAGCAGCAGCAGCCCCAAAACTTGACTGCTCCCATCCCTTCTCCTCTCCAGGGTCTCTCAGCAGCACCTTGGGATACTGGGAGCTGGCAGGAGGCAGGATTCAGCCAGGGTCATTTTGCACCATCTCTTACATGAAACATATGCTGGCAGCAAACTGCTGCTCGCAGGGTCCAGGAGCTCTGCTCTGTGCCTTCAGTAGGCTTCAGAGTAAACACACAGACTGCTTCAGCTCTGCAGCCTGACCCGCTCCGCACTGGTACCGACCAAAGGAGCAAATGCAGCTCAGTGGTGACACTGACAGCGAGCAGTCTTTATCAAATCAGGAATATTCCTTATATCCCAAGAGAAACCAATGCTGGAAAACTCAGCGGAAAAATAAACCCTATAACTGCTACTGCGAGTTTGAAGCGTAGAGGACTCAAAACCAGAGGTGAGGAAGAGTCAGCGCGTGCCTCAGCACCGTAACTTCCCCCTTGTCCCCATGCACGATGCCTGGCTTGAGACAACCATCACCATCTCAGCTGCTCGACACTGGCTCTGGCTGGAGCAGGGGCGGCACAAGGCTGGGATGATGCCTTTAACCAGCCCCTGGCACGGACCCCGTGCCCATCCGCGGCGCTGTGGCACACCAAGACGTTAGTGAGGTTACACGAGTAGCCTCTGTCCACCTCCCGGGCCCTGCGTGTCAGTGGGGTTACTGCTCCCTCCCGACTCACGCAGCGCCGCGTTAGGCTCTAGGGCTGCCCAGGTCCGTACCCGACACCGCTCCTCCCGTCCCGCCGCCCGGGAGCGTTTAGATACGGCTGGCTGGTGCGAAAAGAGAGAGCAAGAGGAGGGGAGAGGGTTAGAGGCGATGGAAGCGGTCGCAGGGATGCTGCTGCAGGGGTTTGCAGCAATGGGCATGCAGGGCAGCCCCAGTTTTACACAGCGCAGCCCCCCAAAGGCTTCATCTTCTCTCTCCTTCTCAAGCCAGTGCCATAACAGCCAGGCAAACCTCAGCTCAGGGGTATGTGAAATCCTCCTGGGAGGCTGCACTTCCATGCACAGGGGAGGAAGGATGAGGAGCATCAGGGAGTTTTCGTGTCAGTGATGTGCTGGGGTGCCCAGTGAGCCCGCAGGCACCGACAGCTCCTCCCTGCCTGTCCCTCGCAGTGGGAGGGTGGCAGAAAGCACAAACAGCAGAGAAAGGGGAGAGCTGACAGCAAACGCTGCCCAAAGCTGCTCTGCCTTCAAAGAGCTCTGTGAGACATCCCTGCAGGCCCCTTGGTGCATTGAGAGGGACACCAGCGAGTGGGATCTGAGCCAGGAGCAGCACAGATTCCTGACCCCTTGGAGCAGTGCCTGACTCACCCCCGAGGAGGGACAAATGCCTTCCAGGGGTTGATTTAATGCCCTGAAGCAGGGATTGGGTCTGTTCTCCCAATCCCAAAACCTATGGGGAAAAGCTTCCCAAGCAAAGCTGCCCCAGGCGCTGGGGCACTCACTGAGCCTCCTTGGAGCAGCACGTTGACCCCAGTGGTGCCACCTCCATCAGTGTCACAGGAGGTGCACAATGTCCCCATGCCGTGGCTCTGGTATGCAGCAGGGCCACAGGGTGATGGGCAGCTCACCCAGCACCACGATGTGAGATGGTGAAAGTGGGAGTTTAGTGTTTCCTGGGGATGGGAGTGAAACCCAAGAGCTGGAATTCCTGGCACCAAACAAACCAGCTGACAGCCTGGGACCCCACTACCAGCCCTGCATGCCCCCACTGGCCTCTGACCCAGTGGGCAGATGTGCACGGTGGGGAGCTACAGGGCAGCATGGACCCTATAGAAACATGAAATCATGGTTTGGGTTGGAAAGGACCTTAAAGCTCATCCAGTTCCAACCCCCTGCCATGGGCAGGGACACCTTCCACTAGAGCAGCTTGCTCTAAGCCCCATCCAACCTGGCCTTGAACACTGCCAGGGATGGGGCAGCCACAGCTCCCCTGTGCCAGCACCTCAGCACCCTCACAGGGAAGAGCTTCTTCCTTATATCCAACCTGAATCTCCCCTTTTTAAGTTTTAGCCCTTTAAGCCCTACACTGCACGGCTTGCTCATGGCCAGCAGATCCCCAGGGGGATGCCATCAGCGCACTAAAACCCTGCACAGGACACCCAGAGAGCCCCCTGAGATGGTACCCAGGGGGTGAGCAGACAGGCATCCCCCTGCACAGGGGGAAACAGGGGCTCTGAGAGATGTGTAAAGGTGGGTGACAGCACCTGGGAGGAGTAAACCTTGGGTATGTAAGATCTAGGCCTGATGGGAATGGTCTCAGTGCTGGGACCCTGCAGTGGATGAGGGCAGATCCGTGGCAGGGTTCACGTCCCCTCTGTACTTCAACACAGCAGCATGCACTGGGGTGGGCACCTCCACAGGGGCAGCACCCAGGGGCTGCCAGGACAAGCTTGGGAGGGGATTGTGGCCAGGCAAAGCTCATCTCACCAAGCAACATGCAGGGAGGTCCCATTCCCCAGCACGCAGCCACCCACACGGCTGCTGCAGCGGCACGACGTGCCAGAGTCAAGTTTTCCAGAGCTGTGTGTTGAACAAAGCCAGGGAGGAGCTGGGATGGGGGGGGAATACCGGGAAGCCAACCCAGTAGGAGCTCCCCAGGCGACCAGAGAGCAGATAAATCAGAGCAGACAGTCAGTCCACAGCCCTGCGGCGGAGCCGGAGCCTCAATCCCTGCCTGCCCTCCGAGCATCTCCTCCCCTCCCAAGCACGCTGCTCCCTGCCCCTCTCTGTTTCACATTGCACCCAGCAGATGGGGTGAAAACCTCCACTTTCCCCGCACATGCATTAGTATTTACCTAATGGTATGCTCAAAATAGATGTCATCCATGGAAGCTGTGACGCACGGGCAGCCAGCGTGTCTCTCAGCTGGAAAGGAAAAGCAAACGGCATCAGACACGTGTAGCAACACGCAGAGAGGGTCCTCTGCCCCTCACCGCTGCCTCAGGGCTGGTGACATCAATGAAACCCTGCCTGATGTCCCTTTCCCTGCTCCTGCTGCGTTTGCAGGGGGCAAGAGGAGGGTTTGGGGCTTCTACAGTGTGTGCTTGCAGATGATTTTAGGGTTTGGAGGGTGTGTTGTAACTAGGAGGCACTTTGCCTTGCTGTTTGCCTTCCGCCACTGTGGGGATCCACAGGCAGCCGATAACATCAGCCCATACACAGCAAATACATACACAGCCCTGCTGGTCCAGCTTTCTCTTGGGCTCCAGAACCTCAAGCTGCCAAAATGCCCTGGGAACCTCACCCCTTTTGCTGCCATAACCTCCCTGTGCTTGGTGTCCTGCGATGTGCTTGGTAGGGCAGTTGATCTGGTGAGCTCCATCACTTCCATCACCGAGCAGAGGAGCTCAGCCCTGTCCATCAGAGCCCTCCATCCGCCGCTGGGATGCCAGGGATGTCACCACCCTGGTCCTTGCCATGCCCTGCACACCAGGCAAGGCAAAGGGCAGTGTTTGGGAAGGAGCAGGCGTCGGTGCTGATGTGTCCCCAAGCAAGTGTGCGTGCTGCAGAGCACGTCTCCTCCCCCTCTCCTCCTGCTGCTCTCGTTTGCTCTCTAATTACTCAGCAAAATGGCATGACGTGGATGTCCAGCTCCCAGGGACGGCGCTGGACCACTGGGCACGATGCGGATGAGCACCGGCTCCCTTCCGTCCCATCCCGGTAGGACGACGGCTCCGGTGGGAGCAGAGGATGCCTTACCGGAGAGGCAGGCGGCCGTGTCGATCCACTTGAGCAGCTGGCCGATGCTGAGCTCGCCGCGGTGGTTGGTGTGGCACGGCAGCACCAGCTGGCTCATCTGCACCTCGGTGGGGTTGCGGGGATGAGAAGGGCTCGCCATGGCCCCCGCTGCCTCCTCCCGCTCCCCTGGGTCCTGGGAACACGGTGGAGAGGTGGAGCCCTGCGGGGAATGAGAGCTCTGGTTTACCCGAACGGGAGGGAAATCGTTGGGAAAACAGTGACCCACGCAGCCCATTGGAATCCCAGCAATGCACAGCCCCAGGCACCACCAAAACCCACCCAGCCCTCACCAAAGACATGATGCCCAAAGCCAAAAGGAACAAAAATCCCTACAAAAAGAGCCCCAGGAGGGAATTCCTGCACCTTAGCAGCCCATTTCCCTGCTATTTCCCCCTGAAAACTCTTCCCAAAGTCCACCAACTCTCTGGGAAGGCATTTTGCTCCCCCAACAGCTTCGTCTTCAGGCTGTTGCAGCAAAGGGTGGTTTTGCACCCCAGGGCAGGCATGCAGCGATGCTCCACACCTTCCACCATCACACCCCCCCCCCCTTTGCCAAAGGAAACACCAAAAGCAGGTTTCCCTGTCTGGTACAAGCAGGGTCGGGGGGAGCAGCCCCGGTTTGGGGTTGTTTGCTGTGCTCCCGTGTTGGCTTTGCAGCTTGCTGGGCACAGAGCTGCTGCCGCCCAGAAGCAGGTTGGGAGGGAGAGGTTGGTATTGCGGCTGTGCGGGCAAGGAAAAGAGCTGATTTGATGTCAAACGAGGCGTGTTACACAAGGGGTGAACTCAGTTACCCCCGTGAGTAATGGAGGAGACACGAGGAGCTGCCTGGCCCTCGTTACAGCCCTTCCTTCCTCTTTCAGCTCCCACCGCGGCTCCCCTTTAGAGCACTTGTTGCGAGAGCCCCTCTGCAGCCGCTCCTTTGCCTTTTGCTTTGCCCGGCACCTTTTAAAGATGGGTTTATGCTGCAAATGAAGCTTTCCCGAGTACACTGAGCTCGCCGTCTCTCAGAATAGCATTTTTCTCTAGCGGGTCTAACCTCTGTTTCCATAGCTACTGGTACACGACATCCCAGGAACGGCACAGACCTTGGCTTGGCAGCGATGCTGGTAAACGCTGCAAGCCAAGCCTGCGTCAAAGAGCCCCCCATCCCGCAGTGGGATGGACGCTTGACTTCAGTGGGTCCTGAACCCCTTTATGAACCTCCCGGGCTGCTTCCCGTCGTGCTGAGGTGCCTCCATGAGTACCACGGAGCTATTTTGGGAAGCAGGCAGGCTCTGGGGGACGAGCCAGCAATGCAAAGCACTCCAAAGCTGTCTGCTGTGAAGCGAGCAGCCGCCTGGCCGGAGATCCCACCGGTGCTTTTCCCAGCACTTGCCATTTCTAAATGGTAGGGAAAAAGCCAGCGTCCCGTGGGAAGAGCCCTGATCATGCAGTAGCCAGCAAGAGGCTGGGGATGCTGATGTGGAATGTGTGGGGAGCGGATGCAGCCAGAGCCAGCGCGAGCAGCTGGCGGCACAGCCTTGGTTAGTAGCCACTGGCACAACAGGAAGCCCCAGGGTTAGTTGCATGGCACAGGGGGTACCTGGAAGCCATTGCAACAGAAGCTCAAGATCTCTTCAGGGATTACAATATTCTCCTTGACCATTTTTAAGAGACACCTGGAAAGGAGAAGAATGGCTCTAGTTATAGAAGGACCAACCGAGGTAGGGATGGAGGATGCTGGTGGTGGTCCCCTGGTGGGGATGATGTAGTGTGTGGGGTGGGCTGTCACTCCTCATCATAGAATCGCAGAATGGGCTGGGTTGGAAGGGATCTTAAAGCTCATCCAGTTCCAACCCCTTGCTGTGGGCAGGCCAGTGTCCCCCTGACCCACACTATGTCCCTCCCTGTGTCACCAGTTCCTCAGCAGCACCCATCAAGGGTGCTACTAGATCCGAAATGGAGAAGAGCAGCCCCAGGGCTGGTGCCTGCCATTCCTTGGGGGTCGGGTCCAGCACTCACCAGCTGCAATGGAAAGAGTCCCAGCTATTCTGGGGTGCTGGACCAGACCCAGTACACAGTACCTCCATCGCTGGTGCTGTGTCGATACTTTCCATGTTGCTTCAAGTGACAGAGGGCTGTGTCCTGAAGCTGCCCTGGCCAGTGTGGTGACAACACCGTGGTCACAAGACATCCAGGAGCACATTTTTGGCAGGGGCAGGCCTCACACTGCGTGCAGGTGGTACCAGGGGCAGCAAATGGGAAGGACCCATCACTGGCAGCACTCCCTGCACCGACCCCTCTGCCTATGGAGCTCTGGAATAGCCAAGGGCATCATGTGCCCTTGGGTGCCCGTGGGCTCCCTGGCCACATGCACTGCGAATGGGTGCTGGCTGGACACGCTGCAAGGAAGGCAGCATGGGAGCTGCAGCAGAAAAGGGTTTATGTTTAGAGTTTGATTTCAGACACAACACTGATCGACCCTCAGTGTGTCGCAGCAGAAGTCCCTCTATCGCGTGTGTATATTGTATCTATATTGTGCGTATATTCCACAAGCAGCAGCTCCTTCCCCAATGTGTGGGACTGACTGATTTTGGTCAAAAAAGTGGAAGCTGCAGATTTGCCTCCTGCACAGTCAGCCCTCCACGGAGCTGGTGCCAGGCATCACATGTGTTGTGGCTGGTGTGAAATGAGGGTGCTCAGAGCACCGATGGATGCAAGCAGCACCAGGCTTTGCTTTCCCCAGCCCCATGACTCCTCCACTCTTGCTGTTGAGGCTTGGAGCTTGCTCACAGCTCATCCACCCTTGCAAGAGCCTGGTGCAAGAGTCACCCTCCTGTTTAGCAAGACGGGTTCGGTCCTTGGGTTTGCTTTATTGCAGGTGCAAGGTCACAGTGGTGCGTTGGCCCCATCACACCCCACAGCAACCAACACCAGAGAGCACGTGGAAACCCAAACCTGCTCCTGGCTCTGTGATTGTGTCACCTTGTCCCATGTGTTGGCTTAGGGGGAGGGAGAAAAAGGGCTGTCTGCTTCGGATCCATCCCTGCTGCTATTTCTGAGGCAGCCCCAGCCGATGCTTCCCACCCTGGGAGCCCAGGGAAGGGGAGCGCCCCAGCCACGCGTTGCCAACACGCTCCAGAGACCTGGAAGCATTGAGCCGGTGGGTATTTATAGAGTATTCTGTTATCAAAACTAAGCGAGCAAGTGTCTGTCCTCATTAAAATCCTCAGCCTCACTCAACTGTCACATTTTTAAAGCTGTTGACTGATGCAGCCTGCAGGTCACCATGGCAACGGGATGCGGTACCCAAGCGATGATGCTCTTACTCTGTCACCCCTCGAGTGACCCACTTCTACCCAAAAAAAGTTTGCATTAGAGAAAATAAAACAACCTTCCAGCAGAATATTTCCCTTCCCTCCTGCCACGATTGCTTCCAGTGTTGCTAAAGGCATAAGGAGCCCACAGAGCAAATGGGGGGTTATAAGGGAGAGACACCCCAAATGGCTCCACAAATACCAGGGGAGAGAGACCCTGCAGCACCCCACTGCTCTCCTATACCCTGCAGCACCAAAGCATCCACAAGCTCTGGGGATGGTCTCTGCTGCCAAATTGGGTGCTGGCTTCTTGGGAAATCACCAGGGGACCACAAGTTTGGAGGAACCTCCACTGCAAAACTCCCTTGCGTCCTGCAGCCCTGAGATGATGCTGGGGCTGGGATGCAGAGAGGGTTGCTCCATCAAATCCCTGATCCTGCTGGAAGGGGGGTGTTTGCTTTGATCACCCCAAAGCAAAGCAGTGAATGGGAGGGAGGGGTGAGGATGAAGGTTGGATGGGGATCCTGAGTGCTGGGCTGTGGGGAGCTATGGGAAGAGCTGGGCAGCCTGACACCTCGAGCAGCCCTGCCTGCCCTCCAGAGCTCTCCTACTGCTGCATCCCAAATCCCCAACCCCCATTTTCCCTCTCCTGGCTCTGGTTTCCTACCCCAACCCCAGCCCCTCAGTGCATCCTTACCCCTCTCTGGGAATATTTAAAGTATGAATAGGGGAGGAAAGCACCACCAATGAATTTCTCCTGGGGGATTATTGGTGTATAATTGAGCAATATCCATGGTAACAAGCAAATCTGCACGCCTTAACAAATTAACCTGACCTACTTTGGGTAATTCTGCCATCTCAATGGGGCAGTGGGGGCTCTCCTTCCCCAGAGACATGGCCCACCAGTCCCACTGCCTGCAGCAGCAAAGCCCCAGTGCTCCCAGGGATAGGCTGGGCAAGGGGAGATGTCCCCTCCAGCAACAGAGATGGGCAGCACAGCTCAGCTCCATCACCCCATGCCTGCCAGGATGGAGCTAGATCCTCAGGACAAGACCCACAGCACTTGCTTGGCTTGGGGTACAGGGTGCCAGCTCCACTGTGGTGCCATTGGGATGGTGGCCCTGCTGGGATGAGAAGGACCAAATCACAGGATCAGGGCATGGTGAGGAAGCACAGCAGCTCCCTGCGGTGGGTCTCAGCAGTACCCCAGCCGGGTAGCCAGCCCGGAAGAGAGGCCAGGGCACCCTGCAAGGGGGTATTTTGGGACCACACGTCATTCTTTCCATAGGGTTTTATGGAGTGAAGCCAGGCATGGGGCCAGGAGAGTGCAAACAAAGGGCCAAAGGCACCAGGGGGGGACGCACGAACTCCCCTTATGGTGGTTTTACATCCACCACCCATAGGAAACCTTCATCAGGGTGAGCACAGAGGAGACCCCTCCAGCCTCCTCTCGTGCCGCTCCACTGCTCGGCTTGGTGCTGGGTTATGCATCCACAGCCCCATCCATGCCCTACCCAGCCCCTATTGCGGCTCCTGGGAGGCTCCTTGAAGGGCTGGCTCTAATTTACTGGCCTGAGGGCAAAGTCCCCCCCAGGGAACAAAGGTCCCTGGCACTGCTGCCTCCAGGGAAGCCGCGTGTCACCCCTTTACACTGCAAACACCCCCAGGGCCAAACCCACAGCACACATTCACACCCAACAGCATCGCCCAGCCCCGGCACCTCTGCCCTGCTGACCGCAGCTTTCCGGGCAGGAGATGGCCATAGCACTGGGATCACCGCCAAGCTGGAGACCTCCATCGTGGAGATCACTGCGGTCAAGGCCACCATGGTGGAGACCACCACAGTGAAGAGAGATCATGATGGGGCATTGGTACCCACCCCTGTGGTCTTGACTGTGCTTGTCTCAGCCACGGTGACCATGGTGATGGTGCAGTGGTCCCCACCATGGTGACCACCACAGCATCATGCTACATACCCCATCCAGCCACCCATGCTGCCCCAGCCAGCCCCAGCGCATTGCGCTGCCCTCCCCAGCATGCCACCCTTCCCAGCAGCCTTGTACCCACACTTCTGAGTAACTATCCCCAGACTTAAGTGCAAACAGGCTGCTCAAGCCAAACCCCCCAGCACACCCAGGCAGACCTGGAGGGGTAGGAAAGGATGGCACCAGCTCCCTCCTACATACAGAGGGTGCCACGTCCCCCTCATTGAGCCCCCAGCAATGACCACAACGGAGCACACCATCGAGAGGGCATCATCACCCGGGTGAGCGCAAGGAGCTTCCACCCCACATCCTCCTCCCCAGCACAGACACAAGCCGGGACAAGCCACGGCCGGGCGTGGAAGCCTGTGCAGCAGCAGCAGCAGCAGACACCGGCTCCTCCTCGCCCAGCCCCGGGGGTGTCCCCGCGCTGTCCCCATTGTCCCCAATGCCCCCGGCCCTCACCTCAGCCAGAAGAAGCTGAGCATTTGCAGGCGGCAGCGAGGCGATGGCTGGCGTGGAGGAGAAGCTCGCAGACACCTGCGTGCGCGGCCGGCACCGGCGTCGAGGCCAAGGGCTGGCGCGGAGCCCCGGGCCGGAGGCCAGCGCACACCCCTCCGCTTCCTTAAATACAGACACGCAGGGACTGCTCTTAAGGTAGCGCCCGGCAGATCCGCTCCCGCCTGGAAAATGGCCGGCGCTGCGGGAAGTTGGCTCCGGACGCTCCGGCTGCAGGAGGGATGCGCCCCGGGAGGCACCGGCGTGGTACCCACTGCTCCGCGCTGCCAGAGCCTTCCAGCTCTCCACAGCGGGCAGAGCCAGAGATGGGGTCTTGCTTTCCCTCTCCATCCCCACGCATCACCTCTTCTTCTGCCCCCATCACTGCAGTGACTGTGCCCGGCTGCTCCCCACAACCAATGGCACTACATCAGCACCAGGCTCTTTCTTTCCCCCCGGTTAAACATGCCTGAAAACACTGGTTTTATTCCCCACAGTCACCAACGCAGGGCTCGCTGGCCAGGAAATCCTCCACAAACTTCTCCAGAGCCGCTCCAATCTGCGCCACTCCAATCCGTGCGGCCGCTCCCTGGCCCTGCTGCCTTTGAAGTACCTTTATCAGGGCTTACAATAAACCCCTTCTCCTTTTTTATGACAAGGGAATAGAATGCAAATTGCTGTGTCATTAATGGTGCAGCCTATTGGATTTGGGGGAGATGTTGTTCTGTTTGTGTTTGATTTGCGTGCTTTTCCTAAGTGAAGCTGGGTAATCGACGTACAGGAGCTCAATCAAAGCTGCCTCAAAGCTGCACAAAGCGTTGCCAGTGGAAAGGCAGCAGTGAAATAATTAAACTCAACAGGAAATAAGCCCTCACTTCTTTGGGTTAATAGGAATAACAAAGCTCTGGAACAGAGCAAACACTCATGAGGGCACCAAGCATCAGTATCCGGGGTCCCAGAGAGCCACATTTTAGGCTGGATGTGGGAAATGCTCCTCAAAAGCCCAGACCTAGGTGCAGGTGAGGTGAGACCCTCAGTCCCTCTGTGAAGGCTGGGCTGGGCAGGGACGGAGCTGGTGGCCCAACCTGGGGTGATGCTTGCCCATCGAGGGTTGGGGAGCCTTTGGGTGATGGAGAAGGCAGCTCCACGCTGGGTGATAGATCCCAGCATGGTGATGGAGGTTCCCTTTGGAATAGGACTGCTGCCCTGCTCTGATCGAGGACTCTAATCCCACTGAGCACTCACTGCTCAGCTGCTGGTATAAAACCTCCAATTCTTCACTGGCTTCTGAGAACAAGGGAGGGTCCTCCGCTCTGCACCCACAACCTCTTCCATGTCTTACAGGTAACTTTGCACACCAATATGCCATTAACTCCAATCATTCCACAACAGAACATCCCCTTTAAACCATTTTTCCTTCCTTGGGATAATAAAGAAGGTCATTTTTCACCAGGATGGTTCCTTGCAGCAGCCCAGGTGCCCTGCGAGCCAGATTACAGCAAGTATACCAGTGGATCTCCCCACCTTTAGCACAGAGGCCCCATGCTGGGAAGCTCCTCAGGCATCCCTCCCTCCTTAGGACTGTTTGTTTCTGCAGCCAGCCATTGGGATCAAGGCAGGAAAAGTGGCTCTTCCCCCTCCTCCGAGCCAGAGGGAACAGCACGATCAGAAACACTTCAGATGCCTGACCCGAGCTCAAGCCTCCAAACAGAAGTCGCAAGGAGAGGGTTGATGTTTTCCAGGCCCAATTAGCACAATGCTGTCATTATGGGCTTGCAGTGGGTGTATTCCCCCAGCTCCCTGCCTGCATCCCTTCACCGTGACACCCAGCGAGCCCAGCCCCGGCCGCCCATTGAGCTCACGCAGGCTCCAGCTTCTTCCTTCTGATCCACCACCATATGCCCGTCTTTTACAGTTCTTTGGTGCATGATGCTCAGCGAGTGGATAATTAGCTAAATGAATTAATTGACATTCATACTTGTAATTAGCAAACGGTTACAAGCAGCTATTCTCCTTGGGACAACCAGGATTTCCCAGGGACCGGTGGTAAGATACTGGAAAATCGTTTGGAGTAACTAACAAGGGTGCCTGCATCCTGCCATAAACAAGCCCGTGCAAAAGCAAAGCAGGCTGTGGAACGTGTTGGGAACGCTGCTCGGGAGGAGGAGGAGGAGGAGGAGGAGGAGGAGGAGAAGGAGGAGGTGGAGGAGGAGGAGGAGGAGAAGTTTCCAGCTTGGGAAGCACTGGTGTCCAGATGGGCGGCCTCCAGCCAGCAGCTCCCACCGGCTAACCCTTTCCACCCCCAGTTATAGCAGAGAGTGAGGCCCCAGCAGCGGAGCCTGCTCATGCAAAGCAATGGGAATTGGATGTCAAGAGTGTTAATTAAACCATTAATTACTGCTGAGAGAGAGAGAGGGGGGAAAGAAGTGGCCTATTGGTTTCACTGCTTCTTGGAGTAGTTGGAAGGATAAATTGTGCAGGGGCTGTGGAGGATGTGGGTTTTCTCAGCTGTTAAGGGGATGTTGGTTCCCCTACAGCCCCACAGAGCCTGAAGTGAGACCCACACCAGCAATGGGGCTGGGGGAGACCAAGCCAAGCCGCTGAGGGCAGCATCACCAGCCCTAAACTGGTTGCTGGGGGGGGATCCACAATGCCAGGGGCCGGGAGATGCTTCCAGGGTGCCCCATGCTGCTCTGTGTGTTCCTAGCAGGGATCCCGCTCCCTGCCATGGGATGCACCCATCACCCATGAGCCCTCAGCCACCCAAACTCAGCACCCAGGATGGTCTGTGCAGGGGATCCCACCCTGAACAAGTAGCAGAGCTGGGAGGACAGTGCTTGTGGCATCCCTGGCTCCAGGGGGACAAAGCACATCTCCCCCTATGCAGGATGATGGTGCGGTACCCAAAGTTGGGCTACAGGTCTCTTCTCCCTGACAAATACCTCCCAAATTCTGGTGCTAATGGGAAGAAGGGAGGGCAGCACAGGAGGCAACACTATGCAAATGGCTCCTTATGGAAAAGGATGGGGGGAATGATACTAATGCACCAGCTTCATAAATCAACCGCTCGTGTTGTCCTGCTGCATCAGGAGCTGCTGTGATGCTGGGGAGAGCCACACTGTGGCTGCACTGCCTGCACGGGCTGGAGGTCCTGTGCCCCCCAAGCACTTGGGATGCTCTGCCCTGGACCACCCTCCTGCCTTGATGCCTTTTGCTACCCCACTGCAGGGTGACGGGACAGGGTGATGGAGTGAGAGCAACCAGGGCCACCCTCAGAGAGGGGCTCACCCCCCGCTCCCGGCATGGGGCTAGGACCACATCACCGTGGCAGGAGTCCTGCTCTTGGCTCCTCCGAGCTGTCAAAGCTCCCCATTTCCCCGGCAACACTCGGAGTTTAGAGGCAGGGGAAGGTGGTGGGGGGAAAGCAAGCAGTGCTCAGAAGGGAGGCAGTTGAAAAGGCTGGGTCAAGGAGCTGTCACGCCACCCTTTCAGCTCTTACACACCCGAGTAAGCTGCACGAGGTAGCAGGGAGGCCGATTCTTTTCTTTAGCTGCAGGCAAAAGAATTCAATTACAAGGTAACCTATTTTTCAACTCCTCCATTGGTATTTACTTAATTTCCTAAGGCCGGCTTGCCCGCCCCGCAACAGGGGGAAGGAGGAACCAGGAGCTGTTAGGCTAAGCCAGGCTCTGCTGTGGGGTTTGGATTGGGTTTAAGTCAAATGGTAAAGCCCACAGCAACAGTGTTTGGTTGAACACTGGTTGGTGATGTGGGGCATCAGTGCAGCGTCCGGCCGGGATGGGGAGCATCAGGAGGAAGCTGATGGAGCTCAAGTGTGATGGGGAATGGCTGAGGGACCTGGAGGGGGGGGGGGGGTTAGTCTGGAGAAGAGAAAGCTCAGGGGGGGACCTTATCGCTCCCTACAACTGCCTGACAGGAGGATGGAGCCAGGAGGGGCTGGGTTCTGCTCCCAAGGAAAAAGGGATGGGACAAGAGGAAACGGCCTCAAGCTGCACCAGGGGAGGTTTAGATGGAGCTGAGGAACAATTCCTTCCCCAGAGGGTGCTCAGGCATTGGAACAGGCTGCCCAGGGCAGGGCTGCAGTCACCGTCCCTGCAAGCGTTCACACACCGTGTAGATAAGTCCCTCGGTGCCATTATCTAACGGTAACCAGCATTACCTTGGCAGTGCTGGGTAATGGCTGGACTTGATGATCCTAACGGTCTTTTCCAGCCCGGCTGATTCTGTGATTCTATGAGGAAAGGCCGGCGAGAAGCAAGGACCTCTGCGGAAGGCTTGTGAAGTGCCAAGAACAGGCCTGCGGGTGGTGGACACTGCAGGTGGGGACTGCAGGAGAGGGGGAGCATGGACAGCCCCGGGGGGGGCCGTGAGGACAGGACAGGCCTGGAGAGCCACGAGAACAGGGCCAGCCCTAGGGTCCAGGAGCAGCGGGACACCCTGCGGGGCACATGGGCACCGGACACCTGGGGTGCACGGCGACAGCGACACCCCGGGGGCCTCATATGGGGACAGGGCACGGGGAGCACAAGGACACCGGCGGGGGGGGCACACGGGCACAACGCGCCGGGACGGCCGCGCGGTACCAGCCCCGCCGTGCGCCGCCAGGGGGCGCCGTTGCTCCGAGCGGCCGCTCTGCTCCCCCCCCCCCCAACCTAACCCCGCTCCCCACGGTGCCCGCGGCCGCTTCGGCTCGGTTCAGCCCCACTCGGCCCAGCCCGGCCCGCCCCACCGGGGCGCGGCCTTCCGGTGGCTGCGGCCCATCCCGCCGCCAAGGCCGAGGCCCGGTCCAGGGGCGGGCGCGGCGGTTCGGAGCCCTCCGGCACCCCCGGGCCCCTATCGGCGGGGGAAGAGAAGGGGGAGAGGGGGCGTGGCCAGCGCTCCGCCAATCAGAGCGCGGCGGTTTCAAGAGGCCCCTTCCGCGCCCCGCCCCGCGCGGCGCCGCGCTGCTCGGCGGGGGGGCGGCCCCTGGCGGAGGGGGCTCACACACACTCACACACACACACACGGCGAGGCGGCCGCGGGGTCCCTGTGCCCGCCCGCCCCGATGCCTGCCCGCACCAGCGGCCCCCGGGGCAGAGGAGGACCGGGGGGGGGGGGGGGGG